TGAAAATAAAGTAAACATGTGGCTGATGTAATGTCATGATGCCCTTCTTTAAGACTGACTGAAAGTGTTGAGAGCACTCCCACTAATCTCCTTTTTGAAAAGCAAAGAGAGCTATATCCAGTTTGACTAATGAGTCATCTTTCACCCTCCTGGTCCAGTTCATGGATTTCCAGCTTACTTCACAATTTCTATGCTCTTCTGACTGCTTACTCGCTATGAACCTGGGCAGAAAGTGTTTGTGGGTGCCTTGGGAAGACATTGGGAACGGAGAAATGTCCTTAACAATGTGTGTCCCCATGGGCTCTTTGGGGGAAGGCTTGTTGGTTGATTTAGGAAAAATAAAAAAATGTTGAGTGCAAGTTCCATGCCAGAGAAATGGAGGCAGTCACTGGTGCTGGGAGCAAGAGGAAAAGGTTGGTGTGGAGCTGGTAACAAGAGGTGAGGTGTGGAGAGGGATGACACATGCAGGATGCAGGATGAGGTAATTCTTTCCAGTTGTCCTTGGTCCTCCTTTTTTTATCTTGGTGCTTTCCCAGTAGCAGTCTCTTCTTTGAAACTCTTTTCCTCCTTTTTTTTTTTTTTTTTTTTTTTTTCAGATAAAAAAACTCAGTGGAGGGCGGCAGGTTCAGGAAGAACTGTGTGCTGCTTTCCTTAGAGACAGAGGGACTTACTAGCTTGGATTAATGATTTATGAAACAAACGAACCCAAACTCCACCAAAGCAAGCTTTGAAAACTCCCAGGATAAATTGGGCTTTTCTGAATGGGAGCAATAAAGAATATTTAGCTAGAGGGACCTTCTATGAACACTTTACTCTTTCTGTTCATCTATTCATTAGAAAACGAGAGTAGATGTAAATGAGCCCAGTGAGCACTGGTTGAGGTAAAGGCAGGACATAGATGAGCAATTGGCAGAGACAAGAGAAAAATGCTGGGAGAGCTGAACAACCTACAAGGCTTTGAGTGACACAGACTATGTCTGGGGAGCTGCAGAATGTAATTTGTGCCCAGCCTGTTGCCAGGGTCAGCTAAAGAGGTGGTAGTGCAATATAATTTTCAACAGTGTACAAGGCCTTAGGGAGAGTTAAAACCAACTCCATGGCACAATATGAAACATAAACCACTGGCTGATAGAGATCTTGACCTTATCCATCTCCTTCCATGTCAAAAACCACATAGCAGTGAACCCCTGGCTGTGCTGGCCTGGTGCAAACCATCAGAGACAGCACATGGCTCTAGTGATTTGGCACAGGCAGAAAAGAGGCAGTATTAAGGCAATCCTCCCCTGTTCTGCTTGCTACTGCTTAGGCACAGAATGCAAAAAGAGTCAAGGTGCAGGATAAACGTAGGAAAAACACAATTAAAGTGTGAAATTCCTCATGTGAGAGACCAGCACAGGGTGCAGTCTTCTCAGAGAGTTCAGACCTGCAGTTAAGCAGGAGGAAGCTGGTGACACCTGGCAGTGTCTCCTCAGGTGCCAGTGGCCTCCATACACTGCAAGTGCAACTTGTGTCCTTCCTGTCAGAGGCAGCACAGCCCGGACTGCACGGTCTGGGATGGCAGTGTCACCTTGCTGGGCTGGCTGTGGCGTGGTGTGAGACGGCAGCCCTTTGTTCCTGTGCAGAAACAGGTCACTGTGGTTAACCATGCTGACTCCTGTAGGTGCAAACAGCTCTTCCTGAGCTTGTGTGTATTGATCTCCTCTGTGACATCAACAGGACAGTACGTAGGAGGAGAGATATGCTGACTTCAGTCATTTAAACTTCTGACAAGATCCCACGTAAGGAAGATCTGTGGGTACAGGAGTGAGAAGGTGCCACAGGCAGGCATTGACATGTGGCAATAAATGGCCACTTGACAGACAGCAAAGGATGGGGCTCAAGAAGTGCCCTGTTCTGTGTAGGGCATGGCTTGGGGTGGGGGCAAAATAAACGTGGAAAAAGAAGGAAATGTTTTTGAGATGTTATTTCATTATCAGATCTTTTCAACAGCTCCATGAGATGCCTGTGCTGCCCCACGTGTTTTAACCAGAAGAACCACAAGCAAACTGTGCAGTGGCCTTAGACCCTGTAGACAAACCCAAGGTGCTACAAGACCCTTCTGGTAACAGAGCTCCAACAGCCTCTGTGCCCCACAACCACAGAAAATACTGGCAGTCAGAAGGAGGAGAAGAGGCCTGGGATATGAAACCATCTTGATGAAGCTCTAGAAAGCCATAAGACAAGAGGAGAGGTGTCAGTGGAGCAGGGTATGGTTGCTGTGGTCAAGGAGCTCCAAGAGACTCTGTGGTTAACGCTGCCAGAAGACACACAGAGATAGGAAAGGAAAGCACAGTGTCAGCACTCTGAAGGCCTTGTGTCATACATACATCAGTGCAGAAATGCTGCCAAGATGAGTATTGGGCCTTGCCACACTTAGCAAAAATGTAAAAACTGATTTAGTAGAATTCTTATATTAATCTTGCAAGAAAGCCTTATAAGCACTCCCACTATCTACTACTAGAATAGAGACACTTAAAATTTTTGTTTCCAGACTTATTAAGTGCAAGTTTTATGCTAATAATTAAATTGTGAAATACTCTGAAGAGTTAGGAAACTGTAACAGGAGCAAGCACTGTACATTTTGTCCATTTTTAGGACAACAGATTTTTTCCTGTTTTTCCTGGAATAAAGCTCTGTTTTATACTGATACAACCATTGATTTTTTCTGTGTGATGGGGAACTTGCATCTCTGAATCAGGAGTGCAGATGTCTGGGCAAAGTTGCTGAAAAGCCATCAATATCTGTGTAAAAAAAACCATGGATTGGAAAAGTAAGCAATTGGTCGATAAAATTTGTTGAGCTAATGCCTATGACCCTGATGATATGTGGCATAAATTATGCTGAAGATTAATGTATCCTGCAAGACTGCTGCATTTTTTAATGCTTCTTGGAGTCTACCTGTTCAGCTTTCCTGACTGGCCTGTGTCATGCCTTCCCAGAAGTTGAGTCTCTCAAATTAGGGACAAACCCTGGTCACTGAAGGTCAGTAATTTTCTGCTGAGCTGAGATATAAGAACCAATCTGATGCATTCTGGTCTTCTCCTTCACTTTTTTCTATACCTGTTTTTTTTTGTTTATTAAATATGTTTATATAAATATGATGCTTTACATCCCTGTGCCAGTACATCTTGCAAACGAGCACATGTAGTCCATGGCTTAGTGCTGCACAGGAGAGGTAGTTGGCTCACCTATTCAGTGTTCCCTCAGCTCTATGAAGGAACTCTAGGGAGATTAGCCTGCTGGATCTGACATGCAAGTTGGGCTTGAAAAGCGGGAACAAACCACCTGCTTTGTTGTGATGGATAGAGGACAGGAGAGCTCAGTGCACCCAGACCCACCACAGCCTCCATCAGCCAGCCAGCACTCAGCTCCAGGGCTTGCAGGTGTCTGTGGCAGGGTATCTGTGCAATGTTAACTTCACAGTTCATTAGCTTTGGAAATAAGTAGATCATCCTGATAAATTCTGTATTATCTGTAGTTTTATTGTTTATGTTGGTGTATAACACCCTCCACAGCAATTCTGGAAGAAAAGCAGTGGTGAAATAGCAAATGAAAATGTGGGAAAATCACTTTTTTGATGTGTACAGGAAATGGGTGAAGTCAGCATTGTACAAATAACGAGTGGATGAACTATACTTACCTCCATCTATGCTGCACTACTGAGCAGGGTGTTACTGTGTGGGCAGAAGTGATGAAGGGACTGGATCTCATGAGAGAATGAAGTAAAGACTGCAGAAAACTGGGGGCCAAGCCCTGCTTTCCTCTGCTCTAGCACTTTTTCATAGTTCAGGCAGCAGTGAGAACAGGATCTGTTGCAGAATTTGATCTCACGCCCTCTGCCCAGGGGAGAAGTGTGTGCACTGGAGTGTGTTGTTTTGCTGGGGACGAGGGTGGCTGTTGATGGTAGATGTGCTAAGTGTGATCATATCAGAGAGGGAAACAGCCAAGGCATGGGATGCGCTCATGCAGATGGAGGTGGTGTGAACAGTGATGGTGCCCAGACCCTGGGAAAGCCCTGGCACACCTTTCAGGATCTGTCACAGACAAACTTCCTCTTGCCCACTACTGTGCCCCCTGAAGATGCTGAGGCCACAGCTGGCCTGTGGGACAGCTATCCTGGCTGCAGCGTGGTGCTGCCACACCACTGAGCTGTCCTCGTAGGGAAGCACAACTCTCTTAGGCCAAGGAATGTCTGCTTCGTGTCCTGAAGAGGTCCAAGTCACAGGCTGAGGACATTCCAGACCTGCACGAAAAATGGCAAACCCCACCAGAGCCTTTCTGCCTTATCTGTGTGCAACCTCTCTCCTCACAAACCCCCAATGTTTTACCTTTTTCTCCCCTCACAAAAGGGTACAATAAAACAATTCTGAGGGCTCAGATGACTTAAAGTGCACTTATTTTTGAAGTTTTCTGCTTGTAATCAACAGAGAATTTTGCTGCGTAACCATCTCCTAAGAAAGAGTGGCTGGGCATTTGGTTGTCATATGGCTGAGTTGTATAATTATAGAATATGTTACGGTTTGATGGATGAAGTCATTAAGAGCATAGTAATTAGTACCAGCCTGCTACTTTGAACTGCTGTGTGGTGTCACATATTCCTTGCAGTGAATTACATCTGTGCACACACACAGAATACAGCTTTCTAACCATCTGATGCCTCAGGCTTACATATTGTTACTCTGTATCCATCCAGAACATTTTTCATTCAGTTTCAAAAATATACACACAGCAAACCAGACAGCAACAGTCTGTAGTTTCCTACCTTCTAGAAATGGCACCTTTTCTTTTTTTTTTTTTTTTTAAGAAAGGTCCTAAAGGAGAATTTAGAAGTTTGACGTGGCATCTGTCACGGGTTTGGCACAGGAAATGAAATCTTGCAGTGGAAAGGTGAAACTTTCTGCTGCCATGTGTAGGACCTGGAGCCAGAAGTAATCCTGGTGTTCTGCATTTTGCCTTGGCAGGGTGTGTGTGCAGTCTCTGAGGAGCAGTGAGTGTGTGCAGCCTTTTACCCTTGAGCTGAGAAGCACATTGGGATTTCAGTGATGATCTGTATGGAAGTCCCAAATGGATGACAAAGGTTTTCCCTGGGAGAGCAGGATGCTTGCAGCAGTACAGAGAGGATGTGAAGAGCAGCCCTGCAGCAGGGAGAGGTCTGATGGCTCGTCATGCAAAATCCTCGCTGGTGGCCACATCTTCATCGTGTGAGGCACTTCACTGCAGCCTCCTCAGTTAGCATTCACTTCCTGCCCATTTTCCTCCCTAAGCCCCTGCAGCTGACCTGGGATGATCTCTGCTGTGAGCAGATATGTTTCCCTCCCCTCCTCTGCCCCACCACCAATGACCTTAAACAAGGTCACTCCGGCAGGACCAACTCAAACATTTCACTGTATTACACAAAGGACACATGTCCTTACATGGGACTGCATCATCTTCCCTCTAGAGGACCTCACTAGGTGTGAAAAATCAAAATGTGACTATTTTCAGCTGCAAATGATAGCTCTGGTTTGTGGCACAGCATGTTGGTGCCTCCTGGGAATTATGGTGTGGTTAAAGACATACTGCTGAAGCTGTGATGTCTCACTTTTCCATTGGGGTCAGACAACCCTGCCATGCCACAGATCCCAGGGTGCCTTGGTGTCTCCCTACATTGGAAGTCACCTTACACTTGGGAAGAGGTGGCTTGAAATAGGTTAGCCCAACTCAGAGAGAATAATATTAAAAGTATACTGAATTTGAGCTGGATTTTGACCAAACCCACTAAAATGCTATGGGTTTAAGAATTTTTTTTAGATGAAAAGTTGAAATTTAGTCTGGGAAACAATCGCTTTTAGAGGAAAAATAGAACTGAACAACCACAACTAAAAATTCCATTTCCTGCTGAAAAACTATCCAACAAGAATTGCACTTAATCCTGAAAATAAGAAGTCTTCTTTGCTGACGAAAAAGAGGACATATGAAAGAAAAAAAATGCTTGCACAAATACCTTAGGGAGTATTGAGTATATAATGGTTGCATCCATCTCAGATTTCCATTCTCTGACCCATCTTTGCAAGGGCCAGAGCTGCTGCCTCCTTTAGAAATTGTTACTACTGCTTGCATCAGTTTTGGAGCTCATTTGTGGGGGTGGCAGGAGAAGAAATGGCCTGTGCAAAGTGACATTCATTTTGTCTGTCACCCCTTTTCTCAGCTTGATGAGATATTTCTTCAGCTTTTTTATTCCTTCTGAATGTGGTATTGCTCTGCAGACTGTGCTGAGCTGTGCTGTGCACATAACAGTGCCCTGGAGTCTGATCTGCCCTGTGCTCGTTTTGTTGTCATCTGCCAAACTGTCTGGTTGCAAGTGGCCACAGGAAGCTTGAGGAGGATAAACGACTTGCTTATACCCACTGTTCCCATGGACACAAACAGGCACAGACAAAATGTTTCCCCTTTTCATCCTCTTCATACTTCCTTGCCAAATGTGCTGGGATGTGATGTGAGATGAAGTCTGCCCACCTCCAGCACTGCTACTGCATTGGAGAAGAACCTCTGTAGAGGTGTCTGTCCAAGCTGAGTGGCAGGGAAATGAGGATTTTTGAATTCTGATTCAGTTCTGTGGACTGGGGGATAAGGCAACATTAGCAGCCTATTTTGAAACATGGCTTGAGATCATAAAGAAGTGTCTCTACATGAGAGACAGGCTCCCACAGCCTGTGGGACTCCAAGCTTTGGGGCAGTGCTCTCCTGTGAAGATGTGGGCTTCACCTTGATCAAATGTAAGCTCTGAATCTGAGGTTCCTTTGCAGTCAGTGGAGGGAAACTGCCTCTTCTGGATCAATGTATCTCACCCTGCAGTAGCTTTCTAAGGTGGGATTTTAATAGTATTTCAGTGCCTTGACTTGAGAAAAAAGTACTTTTGCCTTTGTAGCAGCTGACCTTTTCACTGACAAATGACTGCTGTTATCCACCTCTAGAGTTCACATCACCACCAGGCCAGAGGATTGGCATGCTGGAACTAATTAACCAAGGTGCTTGATTTAAAAGAGAGCATGGTTTCATCTTGGTGCAGGTTAAGAAGTGACAACCAATTCCCCATTTCCAAAAAACTGACTACATCATCCATTTCAAATGTTCCTGCTTTGGTTTGTGTGAGCATTTCCAAAGCCCTGATAGGCACTGGGTGCTGAACACCAGGTGGTTGTTGGGGCTGTATGTGCAGTGAGCTGGAGCCCTCATGTCCCAGTGCTGTCCAGTGCAGCAGGACAGTGAGCTGCTTTGGAGCAACTTGTTGTTTTAAGGATTAATTGGAAGAGCAAAGATTTTAATTTGCTTTCTGCAATGCAGTTGGTACCCACTAAATTCCGTCCCAGCCTATGTGTTACATTATACTGAAAGAGAGAGGAGTTACACAAAAAATTTTCTCTTTGTCTGCCTGGACAGTCACTTTGGACATCACTGGACTGATCTTATCAAGACTGGGAATAGGTCAGGAGAGTGTGCATGGTTTTCTTGATCCAGAATCAACATCTTGGTCTACTCAACGCCCGTCCTCAAAGCGGAGCAGTGCCCAGGTTTGAGTGGTGTTTGCTCTCTTCCTCTGTACTGAATGCCATGGGTAAAGCAGGCCTATGGCTGGCTGGGAAAAGGCAGAGCCACCTCTGGACTCACTCTGGCTTCTTTTTGTGCTTGTCAGAGGTCTCTGAGCCTGCATCTGATTCCCACACCTGACTCCCCAAAGAGACCCTCTTCACAGAGCTTCTGGCTGTACACACGTCTCTGCTGAATCTGTTATCAGACACAACTTTATAGTTATGACTTACATAGCTTGTGGCTTAAGCCATATGGTCATTCTTTTATGTAGTATTTCTGCTTGCTTATTTTTCGTTTTCCCACACCCACTCCATTTATTGTTGGCTGCTTTCCCAGCACCTTTCCTCCAGAGAGGGAGTTACATAAATAGATCTCTGTAGGCTTTTGAAGGCAGATGCTGATGGATAGATCTTCCCAGATAGACTGCAGAGCAGTGTGAAATGCACATCACCTTCATGCCTACAGCCACAGGAGTCACAAGCCACGGTCCCCTGTGGCTGAGGAGCTTGATCAAGGTGACAGTGCCACCGTGTTGACAGTGCCAAGACAGGGCCAGTGACAAACTCTCAGTTTCAGCTGCTGCATCTTATGAAACGGTGTCCTGCTTTGAGTGATTAGTCTGTCTGCAATCACTGGGAATGAATGTAGGGCTCAGGGGGAATTAAAAATAATTGAGAAAATTAAAATCAGCATAATGTTTGCATTTCCCCCTTCATATGCCTTTTATAATGATTTAATATTTATGTACCCACTATCTGGAAACATGTGGTTGATTTGTTTTCTTCACTTAATTTGCTACTGAAACATTTAATTACATTTAAGACTAAACATACAAATATATTTGCTTTGTATAGTTCATTAAAACTTAGTAGTTGCACTGCAGCAGTCCTGTCTTGATTCTTCACACACCCAGGACTCCCCTCGGTTTTAATACAGCCTGTGGTAGGAATGGCTACTGTGCCACCTCTGTAGGGTTAGCACTTGGTTTTAGTGAGGCTTCTTTATAATGAAATGTGTTTTAGTCAGAGCTAATTAAACTAAAATCAAGGTAAGGGTCCCTCTAGAGGAAAACTGAGAAAAGATAATAACTGCAGCTGAATTCTTGAGGAAACAGGCATGTTATCTGGAGAGGGTGATGATAATAATTTGAGGTTTGGGCATAGTTTATGTGTCTTGTTGGAGCAGGTAGCAGGAGGAAGTACCCTGAAGATAGGTCATTGCTGCAGCAGTTGGAGTCCTGAGCAATGGGTGCCGTGTCTCTGCCCAGAGAGGGCCAGGTGACCCAGGGAGTGGCTTGAGGGACTTACTGCCACCATGCAGTTCTGTGTCAAGAAGGGAGGATCTTGTGCTGGGCAATGTTATTTATTGGGCTTGGGACATAGTCAAGATGAACTGATACAGCTGGCTTTGGATCCCACACCCTGAAGGTCCTTCATGCAGCATCTGATATCTCCAGCTATTCCATCCGGTCCTCAGTAAGACAGCCTTACACCAGCAGCCCCTGTGTCCCCACAGAAACCACCACTGAGCTGCTCTGCTTCCCTGGCAGGCACTGCTTGTTGCCAAGCCTGTATGAGTACAGCCAATGGCAGCTAATAGCAAGAAATGCCCCTCAATCAAATCCCAGATGTCAACATTTCCAAACTGGAAGAGGTCTGTGTCTGGCCTGAACTTTCCAGCTCATGCCTCCTCCTGCAAAAACAGGGCACTGGCTTCCCCAGAGCTACTGTAGAGACTGAATTTACACAGTGTGGGGGAAAGAGTCATGAGCAAGTGGAGTCCAAACTACACCCCAGAGACCCCAAAAAGCCATGGGGAACTTGCACAAAAGGGCCAATGTCTCTGAAGAATGGAGCAAGCCACCCCGAGCTTGGCCAAAGCACAGCACCTCCTGCCTGGTTCCTTTCCCTACAGACCTAGGAAGGAATCCTTGGTGTTTTTGTACTGCAGTCAATGGGTCATTAACACTGCCCACAATGGGAACAGTGCTGAGGGATTGGTGATAGCAGCGTGATGCTGATGAGTAAGAGATACAGGCTTTGGACTTCAGCCATGAAATGTCCCTTCAAGTGCACCTTGAAGACATAGGGAAAAGTCAAACTGCTTGTGTGAGAGGTCCTTGCTGAGGGGTTGGGATATTCCACTGATTTGGGAAGTGAAGTGCCTCTCCATGCTTCAGAGTAGATGCCTAAGTGCACGGGAAGCCTGCCTGGCTGTGCATCCTTCCTGCCTGTCTTCATGGCGCAGTCTGGAGACTTGCCACGTTCATTAGCTTTTGGCCCAGGGAATGGCTCCATGTACAAAGAGAAAAGTTCCCCAGGGAACCCACTGCATTAACCACTGTCTGGGAGATAACACTGGACCTCAAAGAAGAAATAGATCTCCTCAGACCATATTATGTCTACATGTCTGGGAGGAGACAAGTG